GCATCATCAATGAAAAAGGAGGTTCAGATGCAGATGTAAAGGTGATGATCGGTAAAACAAGGGCCGCATTCCTACAGTTGAAGAACATATGGAACTCAAAACAAATTTCAACCAATATGAAAGTCAGAATCTTCAATACAAACGCCAAGGCAGTTCTACTGTACGAGCTGTAGTGTGGCCGATGTGATGCATGTAGCCTTGTGTATACAGTTGTGTAGACATATTGTGCCTCCTATGACCAATTTGTTGAATGCACACAGACTTGCAAATCTTTCTCCATTTTCGTTCCTCTCTCCCAGTCCATGTCGTCCCATGATATCTTCATATCCGCTGTTGTCTATTCCGACTTTGGCATTTAGATCTCCCACCAGAATGGTGAGGTCCTTTCTTCGGCACTTCTCTATGATTGACTGCAGCCGCTCGTAGAATTGACCTTTAATGTCGTCGTTGATGTCATCGGTAAGGGCATAATATTGAATAATATTCATTGTGATCCCCTCCTTCTTTGTTTTGAATGATGCTTTGATGATTCTGGATCCGTGAGATTCCCATCTTACAAGTGCATTTCGTGCTACTTTGGACAACCTCAGAGCAACTCACTGAGTGTGTGGAACATTTTCTACTTAGTGGCCAGAGTATAGCAGCATCTCTCCCGTAGCTAGCCTTTTGTGTCCAGCTTGGGTCCAGTGCGTTTCGCTGATTCCCAGTACTGCCAAATCGTATCTCCTCATTTCCGTTGCTATTTGACTGGTCTTCCCGGTTTCCCACATTGTTCGAACGTTCCATGTACCTATAAAATCTTTTGCTCTGGTTGTTAGAAGGTGCATCGGCCTCGTGGCTTTCGAAGGAACTCGGCTTTCACCATGAAGCGTCATAATTCTTCTAAATGAAGACCTAACTTTCAGGGCAGAGTTAAAGTGGTTTGAATAATTTTTTCTGGTAAGCGTTTTTTGGCGAGTTAGTTTTCTACGGAATGGGGACGCTAACCCTATGCCCAACCCCCCCTACTCCTATACCCGTGTTCGGGACCGGCAGTAACTCCAGAAGAGCTACAGGCGGATTTGCCATATGACTCTACACTGTCTTTTTAAATCGTTGATAAAGATAAATGATCATCATGAATACTCGACTCAGTAGAATCAGAATTACAAGACTTAATATTAGTTGCAATAAGATGAACATTAGTATTACAGACTGACTGAATATGTCCAATATCACCACATTTAAAGCACTTAGAATTACGAAATTTACATGAATTCAAAGAGTGGAACTTGCCACAGGACAAACATTGACCAAACTTGTGCCCATTCTCGTGAATTGCATCCAAACTCAATGAATTATCTGCATAACCTTGAGTATGCAATGGGTTGGAATGGCGTAGTAATGTAGTGGAATTTTCTATATCCTCATGAATCATTTTACGAAATCTTCCTCCTTTAACGCATTCGAAATTTGTATAATTAAGATAGTCTAGCAGTAAATCCTTAAGAGTTGTATAATAAAGCGAAATGGGCTTTCCCGGTAAAGCCAGAGTTTTTAATAGGCCATATGATTCTTTTCCAATGAATGTGAGGAAATGTGCTACAATATTAACATCCTCATCATCTTTTTTGGTCATATCCCAGATTTCGAACCTTTCCAAGTATTCCTCAAAAGCATCAAAATCTGAAAGTATAACCAACCATTCCATCACAGGATCCTGATCGCGACGCCAATTCGATGTTTTGAATAGTTTGAATTATAGTACGAACTAAGAGTCCCAGAAATAACGCAATTGAACCAAGAAGTACTAGATAAGCACAAACGAACTTACTGTATTTAGAATTCGTAATCAAGCATTCAACAAATACAAAGGCATCATTAATTCATTCAAACATCACATTAGGTCAGTTATAATAGTAATAAAAATGAATATACTGATACCGGACAGAACCATAATCCTATATTTTCATTCTTATCATTTTCTTTCCATTTGTATGTCTTCAGCCGAAATCCTTAGAGAATATCCTATTTTGCTTTATCCATGTTTCATACACACATCTGAGAACATTCATATGCAAGTTCTATTAACATATGTATTTTAAAGGTGTGTGAACCAATAGTATCTGCTTTAAATGTGTAAAATTGTTGTTTAGGTCGATATTAAGTGTATTTATCTTGACTATCAAAATAATAGACTTATTCCACAACTGTGTGACTATTAATCTATCAGATCTTAAGCAAAAGTCACATAATTATTTAAATTAACCTATTCAATCGTGACAGTTAGCAGTATGATGTTTAATACTTCTGAAGAAGACGTTTGGACTAAGGGTGGGATAACGTATTAAATATAAAGGGTGAAAAGTTATATAGAGTGACCACACCTGCATGGTCAAGCCATGCCATACCGATTAAGTCTTCCGCGTTCACCATCTCTGACTCCCTCTAGGTGTTAGATGCTGAATGTAAATCTTCTCAGTTACTGTATACTCAGCTTCAATGATCGTTTGTTAAGAGACCATTACCACCTCAAATACATTCATTCTCATTCATTTACTTAGTGGTCTGTGCTTATTCTATTGTTCCATTAGTGATCTAATTTCGTCAAATCGTTTGGTTCATCGAATCTATTATGCTCGTCATTTCGAACATTTTCTACTTCATTTCAAAGTATATATTTAATTGACAGCGATCAGTACAAGTAAATTGATGAGCTTAGAAATGTCCACTAAGTTACAAACTTTCTAAATAGTGCATGTTTAAACATCAAGCAAATGTCTTATTTTTATTGTTCACAACCTCGTGATTATTAGCAAAATATGAAAGTACATTGTTCATTTAATAGCAGTGAATTCATTGTTCAAATTAACATGTTAAGCGACTGTCTACAACAAACACCGTTACAGGTTTTTGATAATTATTCTGATTTTATTGACTCTTAAAAATGTATAATTGGTGTTCGCTTAATTATCCTAACCACACCCTCATACAGTCCATATAAGAAGGAAACAATATGAATATCGTCTGATGCTCCTTCAGTATTATTGAACTTTAAGTAGTAATGGAATCAATAATGTATAATTTAAACTATTTGCAACTTGTGGAGCTAAAACTTATCATAGGATTTTACAATGAAACACAAAAAGACGAAAGCCATATTTTATCCTACAGACAATTTTCTGTATTCTTATGCTTTTACATTTTCTTAATTAGTTGCTCTTTGAGTTTAGAACATAAGAACATAATACATTGAAACAGTAAGATTGGATTGTAGCTAGCAATGAAATGCATGGCCTACATTTTGTTCGATTAGAGATTTATCAACTAGATGTACCTATATCTTTACGTCGATACTCGCATTAAAATTTGAACCATGTACCTATCTTCTCAAACTCTAACATATCAGAAGCTAAGTTCTATTCAAAATATTTTTGAAGATAATCTCTATGAGCTGATATCATCTGGAAGGCAACGGGAACTATTTAACACTAAACTACTGCCTCATTCTAATTTATTATAACTATATACGATCAAAACCAAAAAACTGAGCGGGTTACTTGTACATCAGCCAGATGAAGTCTTTCAACATTGATTGACATAATGACACATTACAACACCAGAAATTGATACAAATTATTCACTAATACAGAATCCAAAAACATTTAACTGAGCAAAATGAAACTGGTTAATAAAACGATATATTACTGAATGTGTATGAGTAAATGACTTTAATTATGAGTTTCCACAAATCACTGGGAAACAGATGGTATTATTATTGAGTTATGAACCGTTATTGTAAACAAGACAGTGATAATAGACATAAGTGCCATCAATACGGTATTGCAAATACTGCATTTGTCATGTATTTAGTTCTTTATAGTACAAATACGAAGAGAGTGTAAGAGGGTTCGGACAAATGTGTTTAATCTTTTAACATCTATTGAGTTATCATTTTCTATTGTTTAGAAGAGAATGAAAAAGAAAAACGTTTATTCAAAATGACACAACCCTTATACTGGAACTAATGAATGAAATTTCAGAATTTTTAATGAGTTACATACAGAAATCCAAGACAAAGTAAGGCTAGGTAATGTGGCCATACTTCCTGCCTCTTTTATTTAATAACAGAAATAATAAACATTTTTCATTTACTCTTACTGTACAGAAAACCATTGAAAAATTAGTCTAACGTAGATAGTGATAAGTGTATAACGAACTCAAATATCTTCAATCATTGTATCAAATAGAATGATAATAAAACCATCTGTTCAGTTATAATCCGTGAAGATCACAGAGAATTCTAAATTGATACAAAAGCTGGATCTGTTTATGGTTTTTGCCTAGAAGAATTTCTAATGAATACCGGAATATGAAGAATGTGAAGCGGCATATCTTCATTAATCAATCACCTTGATAACCGTTATTGTGTAAATGTCAACGGTGTCTGAAGTCAGAAGGCAATAAGAAGCGGCGAATACTGTTTATTAGCGGATAGCACAGATCACAAAGCTACAAGCACATCGAGTGAATTTAAAGCAGAAAGGCGAATGTGTGTATGCGAGCAAATACAGAGGTGAATTTATAGTCAAATTGAATAAGGCCCAGCTAGGCAATTCAAAGGCTAATAATAGGATTCGAGGACATGGGGAACAGAATGATTCACCGAGCGATATTTGAGCCATCAGCATTTTAGCCAGAGAAGTATATGCAAGGCTATCATGTGAACAAGCGCACTCGTTTATACAGACAAGATACTGGTCATAATAGTACAAAGAAATAAACAAATTGTTACTGTTCGAATAACATTGTCTGTTAGTTAAGCTAATGAAAGCGCTCAACAAAATTTAACGACAATGGAATTTGATTGTAGAAGAGTTGCCACAAATGTAAAATGATATCGACAAAACCATCTGACAGTGTTTCACAGTTACATCGAAGATGCTCAAACAATGTTACATTCTCATTGTTGGTTCATTACAATAGTATAAATTTCAAATTAAACGATATTGTTGAAGCTATCAACAATGAGCAAATCTTGTTTCCCATGGGACAGATTTCACTTTGTGTAACATAAGTATACCACAAACCATTGAGGCTATGTCCATCGGTAAAAACACGACCAGTAATGAAGTGATGTAAGTTAAATGACATTGGACGATCGCGTTAAGCATTCTCGCACAACCCTGAAGAAAAGAAAAATGTTAAAACTACATATATACATACTTATTCTCCTTATTTGATTAACATTTTCATAGAAGTTTACAGTGAGTATTCAAAGTCCAACAAATTGAATGAACACATCTAAGGAGACAATTCTAAAGGGTTCTCACCATCCAACACATCTCCATCAATATTTAAATACGTGTTTCGACGAAGTGTTATTGTTAGGAATGAGTGATTGTGGTCAGGTATCTGTCCATTTAAACCAATTAGGGTATCATTTTCCTGATTTCATTACCCTTTTTATCTTACACTTCTTTGTACATTAATTCAACATAACTTTCCTTTACCAATAACAATGCATGTAAACTTATGTATCACTGAGTGTTTCTGTTAGAAAGAGATCTTTCAGGTTTCGATGCACAAATAAACCATTCGACAGAAGTGCTCATCTTCATTCCGTACCTCCAGTCATTTCAAGTTTTAGTTCTAATCCTGTCATGACTTTCGATTTCCACATCACTAATTCAAGTTAGAAGAGTTCTTTCAAGTTCAAATGAAAACCATCTCTATCTAATTATAATAGTCTAGTCCCAACATCGGACTTGACAGTTTCAAATAAATTGATTATTGATTAGAAACTTGATAATCAGTATACTATTCGTGATATCCCAGTGAGTAGGAAATAGTATTTCTGAAGTACCGTGACTAAATGTATGTCACTTCTTCAGAGCAAATCAATAACCAAAGTATAGATAACATAACTGTCAGTAGTACAAAGGAAACAATGCCGAATATTTCTAGTACTAACATCCTCGATCTAATAATTGTTACAGGATATTACTGAAAACACATTCAAACATAACCATCCTTCTTAAATTAACAACCCCAGTGAAAGATATTGAGTTAGTACTGCAGTTTCACCTTACCGTCAATCTACGACAGAAGAAATACAAAGGATGTTAAGAACAAACAAAATAAAGCTCTCTATAAGATAGTCAACATCAAAGATGAGGTCCCGTTCACATCAATACAAAATCGTGTCCACAGATTAGGTTTGTTCGATTGTGATGCGCTCTACATTGAAACGGCTTCCTGTGAGATCTTGTCTCATGCCAAGCAACACATAAGTCACACAAAAACCCTAATAATCCAGTAGAATCGGAAATTTTGCGGGGTAATGTGGTGTTTGAAAGAACTAATGATTCTTTTGTACTTGTTGAATGCTTGATTTCGAATTCCAAATACAATACATTCGTTTGTGCTTGTGTCGCACTTCTTAATTCAAATGCGTTATTTCTGGGACTCTTAGTTCGTGCTATCATTCAAATAATTCAAAACATTATAGGTAAGTTAGCAGTAGCAATACGAAGTTGATATTTCACATCGGAACAAAACATAAATCCATCTCTACATGTACCTTCTATTTTTATTTAGAAAATCATATCTATTCTCTCCAAGATTCAAGTGTGACGCCGAGTCCCATGTTCGTGTAAATAAAATGAAGAATGATCAAAATTGTAATGTATTATCACCATAAACAATAGACTAACACGACACAATGTTAGTAATTAGGACATCTCAGCAAGTACAAATACAAACCGTATCGTGTTATCACATATGGCTGACATGTAGTTTGTTGTGATTAAATGTGTTTCAAAGGAACCACTAAGTGTATTCATGCACGCAAAAATGCTATACCGTTTCTTCTACCTGAAAGAAGTTTACTATAAATTGTAAGTTTCATACGGATTTATGTATCACGGACTATCAATTCTTTTGACTTTACTGCAAAGAAGATTTATAGAAGGGAATAAATGAAACCTAATCGAAAATGCCTATTCAGACATCTCAGAAAAGTGAGAAAGAACGAAATATTTCCTTTCAGTCATTTCCTCCTGTAACTTTACGCTACCATAAATATTTGTATAAATTCAGCATTGAGCATCCTAAAGTTAATCCGGTCAGTTTATGCTAAATGCTTATTACAATGGCAATTATCATGTTTTAAAAGTTATGAAACAATACATAGTTGTCTGTGTAGTTTTGTATGCACATGTTCACTTCATTCCTGAAGGGACACGCAAAACGTCCATCGATGTTTTACAGAGAAGTATTCCCCATTAACACACAAATTGTTAGGTGAAAAAAGGGCAGTGATTTCTGCTAAACTTTGTCCTGTAGTACCTTTTTTTACTCATTGACTGACACTCGTGTTCACACTGTGATCATATTGTGTTTTAAACATTTTTAATCAAATTAGAATGGTTAGTAAGACATATAAATGTGGATAACCAAATTGCTTGTTTCCCGTTTAGGAAGGAATGCAATGCGATTAATGTAAAAAGTGGTACCATAAGATGTGTACACGTCTAAGTCCTAAGGCATACAAAATATGCTCGAAGCCTAACTCGCATTGGCTTTGTATGTTTTGCTGTACAAATAAGAAGTTCCTAATTCAGGAGGATATGGACTCTTTTCAGGCAGTTATACAATGGGGTAACTCAACCATACATACCCTGAACAGTTCCAAAGAAGAAGAAGCACGGTCATCCCTGGATAGGCCGGAATATTCGACGTTTACTAAGACAAAAGAAGAGATGTTGGAACGTTGCCATCCGCCTTGGCACAGCATGTACGATGGAACGCTACAGATTGGTAAGAAACATTCGTATAACAAAAATTCGGAAAGCTCAAAGAAAATATGGAATGCAGTTGGTACAATCTGCACTCAAGCAGCCCAAGAGAATAATCTCGTACATAAACTACAGAACAAGGATGCATCATTGGATTCCCAACCTAATTAAAGAAGGGAGTGGATCTGAAATGATGGAGGAAGATCAGATAAAAGCAGAGGCTATGGCTGACTATTTTGGTGCAGTTTTCACTCAGGAACCTCCTCTAGACAAAGAACCAGACCAAAATACAGGGTCAACAAATCACTTGCTCACCGTGTGCTTAAGGCTCTTAGCACTTTAAACGTAGAAAAGTCAACAGGACCAGATGAACTACACCCCAAAATATTGAGATATATTGCACAATTTATCGCGGCCCCGCTAACTGTGATATTCAATATGTCACTTGACCAAGGTGTGTTACCTATGGACTGGAAATGCGCAATCGTCACTCCCATACATAAAAGAGGTCCACGACAAATTCCATCGAATTACAGACCTGTAAGCCTCACCAGTGTTGTAGTTAAAATATTGGAAAGAATAGGCAAACGGACTATAATGGCATTTATGGAAACCAATGACTTGCTGAACATGGCACAACATGGTTCTAGAAAGGGTCTATCTTGTACAACGAACCTCCTCATAGCAAGGGGGTTTTCGATAAAGGCGCTAGACAACGGAAACTCAATGAATGTTGTCTACATAGAATTCAATAAGGCTTTTGACAAGGTGCCAACTAATAGACTACTATTGAAGTTGGAAAATCTTGGTATTACCGGACCTCTTTTAAAATGGATTAGGGATTTCCTAATAGGTTGTAGACACAAAGTAAGAATAAATTCCAAGTGCTCCATCTGGAGACCAGTACTTAAAGGGGTGCCTTAAGGTTCCGTCCTAGGTTCTTTACTTTTTATAATGTATGTTAATGATCTTCCAAGCATAGTACATTTTCCAATGTTATTATACACGGACGATGTAAAGATTTGGCGAGTAATAACTGGAGACACAGACGCATGTGCTCTTCAGGTAGACTTAAATAATATGATTAACTGGTCTAAAGAGTGGCTGATGCCTATCAATACATCAAAGTGTGTCTACATGTACGTTGGGGATTCAAGGGTTAATAGGTACAATGTATGGGAAATCCCATTACCTGTGGTCCGGTCTCATAAGGATCTAGTAGTGACAACGAGTCATGATCTTAAGACGACATCCCATTGCCGAGTGGTCGCAAATAAGGGGTTTCGAACCCTCTGGGCTTTAAAACAGATATTCACTAAGTTAGATACAATCATGTTCACTACAGTATGCACATCCTTAGTGAGAAGTAAGCTTGAGGACTGCGTTCACGATCCAAGCCCCTGTATAAAAGTCATCAATACTTGGAAACTGCAGCCCGAAGCAGTGGTGTCCGCACCTTCAATCGGCACTCTGAAGAAAAGACTGGACACTCACAGAAACATACTAGAAAAAGAGCAACATAGGCCGTAGGCCTTCTGTCCTTACTACACAAATCTGAATCTGAATTACAAAACTGTTAACCAGCACTTACTTTTTTATGCGGTATTTTGGCTTTGTCAGGATAACATGATACTGGTACTGAGAGATTACTCACAGTATAATCCATGACTGAATTTGCACCACAACATTTATGCTTTTGAAAAACACATGAATTACAAAACAGTTTCTTTTCAAGTGTAATTTACCTGCAATTGTATTGTGTTCACAAATGCTGCATAACTATTTTTCCTAGTATACTGGTTGATAGAATCTTTGATGATATCTCGAAACATCATATCCATCTAAGTATTGAACAAACCGTATTAAACAAGTGTTTATAATATGAGTATGAAACATTCACTTGATTAAAACCATTACCTTTTTGCGCAAAATGGATGTCGTTACAATAACAATGATACTGATTGATGCAGCCACTATCAACAGTACTGTATACTGTAATCATAAATAAATAACAAAATTAGTATTAGTTCACAACAGCATTCAACTTTACAAGTGCATTAATTCTTCGACGTCCAGTGAAAACGAATAATATACCAATACTACCAAGTGAGAACAAAAGACATCCAAGTGCCATCATGATAAATGTCAATGATAACATATGAACTGGCATATTACGTAAAAATGTACTCAGAAATAGATGTACATAACTGCCCAGAACAATTAAACATGTACCAAATACCTGCAAAAATACAAAGAAATAAATAGTATTTGAAACAATTAGTCCCTTTGATAAACTTCGATCATACAATGAGAAGACGTGAGACATTTCGAAAACAACTGATCACACATAATGTACTTGTTAAGACATTTTCATGTGAAAATTAAAAGGTCAACTAGACAGGTTAAAGGTAAGCCGTAATAACAAAAAATATATTAAGGTAAACCAAAACAATGTGATTACCACTTTGGATCATAAATCAGTATTACCAGGGGAGGTGTTAAGTGTTAAGGACACATTGTCTTCGAATGCATAAAGAGGGTTTCAGTTTCCGTGTAGTGAAGGCTTCAATGAACCCTAGTATACGTCATTGCAGGCTTTCGTACAACGCTACAAAAGATGATTTGATGTTATCCTTATGACCAGTCTCAATCAATTGTTTCGCAATGGAGGATAATGTCTATCGATCCTGTGATCTTATTTGACCACGTGTGATCTGAGTGTTCGAAGTGTATTGCACAAATAGATCATCACATAATTCTGATAAACTTTGTCTTCTCATTGCATTAGCGAAATAAGCAGTAATCAAAGTAATAAAGTTCTAGTGAGAAGCACTGACCAGTGGGGTTCAACCAGGTCTGTTCTGAGATAGTTACTCACTGATGACAATGGTAGATGTGTCGCTCAATGTCGTGGATTAGTTGAAGTTAGACACTAACACCGTTGGATGCCGGGCGTCTCATTGGTCTAATGGTTAAGCACTCGCGTACGAGACTGATAGGTCCTGGTTTCGAACATCGATCGTGGAAGCGCACTGCTGAGGAGTTCCAAAATAGGACGAAACGGCCTTCCAGTACTTCCAGGTGTTCCATGGTGGCCTAGTTTCAACTGACTCATGATGTCAACCATTGAAATAAATAAACAATAATTAGACACTATGCATGATGTTTATGACAACAAAACACTTACCAAATTTAATGAATTAGACACAATTAAAAATCTCTTCAACCATTTGTACTGACATTCTACTGATTGTTTCTTACACATTCTGATATACAATGGTAGATATATGCAATAATTCCTCAAGTTGATTTCAACCAATTCACTGTGTCTTTTCTGTTCTTTTTCTTTACTTTATGGTCGACCATATAATATGAAATGTCAAATCATACTTTACTTTATTCTCATTAACTTCCATAATAATTTTATACTTATATATTTGATTTATGCTCATCATTGATTTCTTTCATAGATTAGTAACCTTGATATATTGTGGAATGTGTAGAATGGATACAATATAGAATTTGTCTAATCACTAATTGGATCAATGTCATAGACTTCTGTGTCAATAATTACCGATTTATCTTATTGTCTATAAAATATTTAAACGGAAAAATTTCAAAAGACTAAAAATAACAATAACCACAACAAAAAGAAAGAAAACAGAAAGAAAACTTTGTTCAAGTTCATTCACACTCATTATAAACTAAATATTTCACTTACCCCTTCAAATAATCTAATACCATCATTATGTAATTCCAATTATTATTATTATTATTATTATTTCTTCTTTAATGTATTTTTACGATGTAATTAGTATATAATGAGATGAACTATGATATAATTAGAATTATTCATAATAATCTATTATCATCTCATTATTAATGATCAATAGTATTTCAATGTTTATTATAGTATATTTCACTATGGTTGAAATGTTGATCTTATGATTGAAGAATGTTCATTTCAATAAATTTTCTTCATTTTCTATAGTTACATATTTTAATGAATAAATCAAATTCAAGGAAAAGATTATAAGATTACTGACTTACTTACTTACGCCTGTTACTCCAGATGGAGCATAGTCCACCGACCAGCATTCTCTTTAGTCTTCCTCTTCTCTTTATTAGGCGTTGAGGATTCCAAGAGATGGCTTGCATTGCGACGCAGTCAGGTGTTATTCCGAATCAAATACATTCATAAACAATAACCTATTAACACACATATATTGGTAATTTCCTGTCTGCATGCTCACACTAGCATCTGACGTGCATTTGTTCCAGGTTCCAGATTGTTAGTCACAGAATGACTGTCAACAGTTATCCGCTAGCCATTCATACAAAGGGAGCTCAAGACCACTGAGAAGTGACCGAAATATGATATTTAGGCATTTCAGTGCTCTCTTACATGTCCCGCTATTAAGCTTAAGCCTTGAGCAACAAGCTGTAAATCTACATATCTTTATTTAGTTTGAACTAACCAGCAAGCTTCCCTATAAATCTTTGTCGAAATCTTCACACATGATTCAACTCAAACTTACTCTATCCAATGTCCGAGTCAGAGACTTCTTCGAGGCTGTTTGGACTACTGGTTTTCTCCTATAGGATTGAGATATCAACATTGATTGACCGTTCTTAAGTAACCGCTACCATGTTTCTGCAATCTTGTAGTGATGGTCGAGCCCTATGTGACTACCACTCTCAGTGATCCAATATTATGTTATACTCTGTTCCGTAATAAACAGCTTTCACCAACAGTAGATTCTTATACACTGCCTATTCTTAAAACGAATGTTCAATCAGTCGTCGGTTTTTCATGTTTTAATTGAGGTTGTTACAGGTGGTTTCATTATTCTAAATTTTAAAAGATATAGGCGGTTAAGCACTAATTCGCAAGAATTTCATACTGTGACAACATTCGTATACTTATATAGTTAAATATACCCATTACGTACTATTTCTGTTAATATGTTGCTTTGAAAGACCGACATAATTTCATTAAAACGAAGTGCCACAGATCGAATCCATTTTTGTAATCATGTTAAACTTTGATTGTCAATTAATTGAAATAAACATACTGTTCGTATTTTCAAAGGAAGTTGAATAGACCCCGACACCCAGAGAGAAAAGGATAAATGACGATTAAATGACGGTTAACTCGAACAAAACCCAAATCTTTCAAATCCATTTCATAAACATAAATTTTGTCCTATTGATTCGCTGTAATTACAGTCATGTCATCTAGTGATTTAGTCTGAATTTAGTTTGCAATCTCTCATATTTGAACTCGCTCTCACGGGTAATTGGATAAAGGAGGTTTAGGAGTCGTGATGGTTGAGATTTGCACTGTTGAATACTATTAGCAAAATGTGCATCAAATGGCAGTATACTACCGCCGCTCACCATGTTTTTCTCTGAAGCAAAAGAAATAGGAACACAGCACTTGGATTCATAAACAGGGGCTTTTTCATGACCATCATTACAGATTTATTGTAGTTAAATAACTATTGAAAATCAGTAAGCACTCGGTATCTGTTTCGTACAGACATGTGACTCCTCAGCAGTGCTCGTCCACTGGTGACCAAACACCGGACATTTGGTCTCATACATAGACGTGCATTTATCTCGTAATACAAGTAGAGTGGTTTTAAATTACGGACACTGTTTTCTCTCACTCTATCCAAACCTGTTTATTTGATATATTCCAGTGTTTCAGTCCTAATTCTTAGCTATTCGAGTGAGTTCCAAATCTTTAAGATGATCGGAGTTTTAATGAGTAAAATAATCAAAATTATTGACATTATCGTAACACTATTTGTCAATAAGTTGTTTTATTTAGAACTAGTTCGGATCCTTCTAATTTATGTTTATTGTTTGTCAAATGTGAAGTTACAGAAGTAGTAGAATGTGAAGTGTCTATACACTTTGCTGACATGACTCCACATTTGGTAAGAAGCAGCGTGTCAGTTTAATTCATTTAAACAATCAATAAAGGCAAGTGAAAAGATAAGTCTCGAAAACATTGTTTAGATTTAATATTTTCCGTCAATATTATAATCTTAATTACAGTAACCTTTGGTGATTCATAATTGTTTAGAATGTTTATTGAACAAAATACAAGACTCCATTCTTTGTTCAATAAATGACAGTGAAGTAAAAAACAAGGAAAAGAGTTTAATTATGCCAAGTTGAAAGCTGTCAAAAAATCAAATATAGCGTTCACAACCTTAAATAATCTAGTCTTGTCCGTAATCGCCAGATTTGATAGCTCGAATAACACAGATAGCAAAAACAATACACGACAATTGGAGGACGGCAAATACAAATACCGCTACTAAAACGGCAATGATATACTTTTCAAAGAAGGCGATTACTTTGCATGAACAACCCTGAAATTAAAAAGAATATTATTACGTTCGACTAAAATAGAGATTAAGTTTCAGGAAGTAATTGCCCTATTTCTGATGTTAGAGGTCAAAATCTTTTAACGTCGGGTGGGTGGTATCCTGGAAACATGGTCTGTGTTTTCAAAATGACCGGAGATAGTGTGCGATATCCATGGCTGACTCAGAGTGTTGGTCATCAGTTTAAATAATCACCTATGTTTATACCATGCCTCACCCAGAAACAGCGTACTCTTGTAGTAAGCAAGCAAGGAAAACATTTGTGATTTGATGTGCTCTTCAGACAAATGCAAACCTCACTGGTCAAGATTATCTATCCACTACTGTGAAAAGTAAAAGCGTGAGTTGAACCACACTAATAACGGTCAAACATATTTGTCGTCGTACTAATAATTGTATCCAGTGTGCAATCATTATTCTTTATTAAATGCTGACTCAAGTAACAATACCACTTAGTAGGGATGTGATCAGACATGATTCACTTAAAAAGCAGATCTCTACAACTATGATCTCTAATGTTACCCCACCACACAAAGTCAGTGTGCAATGCTCATCAAGTTTACGGACGATATTAGGCCCAACGTCTTGACGTATAAATATGAACCATCAGATTTAGATGTGGCTTGAATTGTTTGAATTTTGAAATGTGATCCTGAAAGTATAATGAAGTGATTACTCTTAGCACCTGAGTATTAAAAAAATTTCCAAACTGTAAACAAAGCCGAATATCAAAGATTTTTAACGTGTTTTAAAATTAATTGGTGATGGTTCTAATATCTACACATTAGTGATAGGTCGAATATCCCAAAAGTTGCGTAGATATTTGCAATCTTCATGTGGTTCTGTGTAAATTAGCAGTTACTTTAGGATTAGGTTTATTTAACTGCAATCATCCTAAGGTACTTCCTGAGTCTGAAATCTCGCGGCGTAGGTCAAAAAACCTCCTATCCTATTCGTATCACTGAAGAAAGCAAACAGAAGATCATGTTCACAACTCCAGGAAACAGTAAGTCCTGAGTAGTCACGTTGGCTGAAGATAGTAATACTTTAAAATTGACTGTTAATAGGCATTTCGTAAAGTATTTAATCGAGATTCCAAGCTTGTACAAACATTCAAAACAGTTCATCATTGGGATTTGATAGATTAGCTTTCACTCATGCACAAAGATTGTAGTTTTCACTTTTCCGTTGCTCGTTATTATTTCAACACATTTTATAGGTTTAAACACCATGCAAATAGCTAATACAAGAGATGTAATAATACCAATTGGTATAGTAGAGCATCCGATCCTACTCCCACATCACATCTCATGGGTTTTTGGAAAAATACAAAACCTAATAAAATATTTTGACAGCAAAACAAAATTTATTTCAACGTACATCTGAGTATCTAATCTTAGTTTCTGGATTTTTACATGAATCAGGGATGGTTTGCTTAGTCGATATATAGTCCTTTGGCGATTCAGAGCCGCAACAATGAAACTGCAAAATAAACTACGTTTTGTAATGATGTACCTCTGTTTGTATCTTATCTAAGAGTTTCTTCAAGTCCGGATTCTTGCTATATTCAGAAACGGAGCTTTTAATCAGAGATTGGAATTGAGTTTTAACGTCTTTTCTTAGCACAGCTGCCGCTACTCCTCCCGCTATTTCGATCAGCACAACGGTTGACAGTAGAGAGGTGTACTTGGTTTTTAAAATCAGTGTATATAGCAACTTACCAAGATTAGACAGAAAGTATTCTTGGTAACCAATCCAAAAAACCCAAGAAATCCAAACACAACTAGGAAGCATCCAAGTGCTATTAAAAAGATTACGAGACACTTGATATTTGAATCCACTCCAGTGGAATATTTATTAATAG